AAAAAAAAAATTACATTAAATTTCCCCTAAACCATTTTTAAAAAATATCCCCTTTTTTAAACCCAAATACCCCAAAAAAAAAACCCCTTTTAAGTTTTAAAAAACACCCCTTTTCCAAACCAAAAATAAAAAACCCCCCTTTTCCCACCTTTTAAAGCCCAAAAAAAAAAAACAAAAAAAATTTTTTTTTAAATAACAAAATGCTTAAATAAAAAACCCAATCCCCAACCCCCCAAAAAACCCCCCCCAAACCAAATTTTCTTTTAATTTTTTCCAAAAAACCCTACTACACTTTTCCAACCCAAAAAAAAACCCAAAAAAACATTTTTTTCCCCTTTTAAAAAAAAATTAAAACCCCCAAAACCCAAAATTTCCCCTTTTCACAAAATTAAAAAAAAAAAAAATTTTAAATAACCCCCCTGCTTTTTAAAAAAAAAATCCCATCCCCCAAAACCCCCTTCACAAAATTTTTAACCCTCCCCCCCCCAACTTAATTTCCTTTTCTTCACTCCTAAAAGAGGGAACCTCCCTGACCAGGCATAAATTCTGCCTCTTTTCCAAAAATTTTAAAATTCCCCAAAATATTCTCGCCTTTACCAAACCTCCATCTCCCATCTACTAACTCCCCCACTCTTTTTTTAACTGACAAAAACCCTACTTTCCCCAGGCTTTCTTAACTTTTTAAAATCACTCCCAAAATTTTTTTTTTTATTTTTTATTAAAATTTTTTGACAGTGCCCTCCCACTTATCATCTGCCTCCTTTTTTCAACCCTCACCACTCTCTTTACCTTTCTTTTAACTCCATATCAGGGACCCCCCCCATAATGCATTAATCTTTCCCGATAGCTCAATGTTTTGCGAAATTTTCGTTATGGGGGAATTAAATTTTTCCCCTAAGAAATACTGGAAATCAAATTTATCCGTGCAAGACACCAAAAGTATGAAAAAAAAAAAAATTTACCACATGAAATATTAATTTTAATACACACAAACTTAAGAAAACATGCACAGTTAACATGACCCTTCTTTATGAAGATGTGGTGTGATTGATGAGATAGGAGGAGGGGAGACGGATGGTTTTTAGTGTTTAGGAAGGGGGATCCCCTTTTAGGTACTTGAGGTGTCAAGTCCTTTTCCGGGTTGCTTCCTATTTTTAATGCCACATTGGACCAGCTTCAGAGGTCACTGGACTTCTGTCGACAAAGCATAACTGTCCATAGTGGCCTGTTCCGCTCGTTCCTTTATGACTTTCCTAAACGTGTTTCAAAACAGTGTCAGGTGTTAATAGTCACCAGCAAGGCTTGCAATAGCTGTCTGAGGGTGATTTTCATCCATGAAGGTTTGCACTCAAGCCACTCTGCAACAAGATTTCCTTAATCTTTGAAGTAGGCAACTCTTCAATTTCTCTCTTCCTCCTACCGAAGCAATTTCCTCAGGTGTGGCCTCTTGTGTTAAAGTTGATCTAGCAGCTCATCAAGTGGTTAGTTCTTCAGTGTCCTCCTCCTCAAAATCTTCACATCCTCCCCACTAATCTCCAACCCCAATGACTTCCCAATGCCACAATTGATTCCTCAGCTGCCAATCCTCTCAGGTGTAAGCCTCCAATCCTTCAAAAATTCCTTTGGTCTAAACATACCACCAAAAAACAAAACCGCAACCATTCTGGCCCACAGTTTCGTCCAAGAGGGAGCCTCAATCCTCAAATAACCCTTAGGTCTACACATTCCTGGCACAGTTTTTTCCAAGCAGTGTTCAAAGGTCCTATTTTGGGCACTCCCTCCCATGCCCTTACCTATGGGGTTTACACAATTGAGGATATTTAAAGTGATCTCTCCAGAACTCTCTTAGAGTCATTGAGTTTTGAGGTACTACAAAGCACTTTCAACTAAGAGCTTTTGTGTACAGTTTTTTGAAAGTTTGCAATAACCTGCTGGTCATGGGCTGCAGGAGAGAGTGGTATTAGGAGGCAAAAACTTCCACCTTTATGAAGCTCATGTACCCCACAAAGTCGCTCTGCCAAAGTCTGTAGGATGGCCAGGGGCATTGTCTTAACAAAGGAGGCACCTTAAGTGTCTAATTTCTTTTATTCAGTTAGGTAATTTTTCACAGTGGGGGCATATGCCATGTGTAAACCAGTCATAGAAAAAGTCCCTAGTGACCCATGACTATTGTTTGCCTCCACAGCACACACAAATTTTTTGCCTTGGAGGATATTCTTTTGACTGGACGCTCTGGGAGTTCAGAGTGATACACTTAATAAAAGCTTCACTTGCAATCAACACTAAGCTTTGGCACAACAGGAGGAAGAGTAAGCCTGTCTTTCAGTAGGCTTTATGTCCTGGGAGTGCCTTGTCCTCTCAGTAATGTAGGTCCTGTCTTGGCATTTTTCTAAAACAGGCCTGTTTCGTCACCAATAAACACTTGTTCAGGTTTCTGTCCTTCACTGTCTGTGTACTTCCTGAATTCATGATACATATTTCTTCAGCTGCCTTTTGTCCGAAAAATGGCAGCCTCACCATTGCCTTATCATCCAATATGTATGCCCACTACGCCTCTTAAATCTCTCAAACAAACCTTTGCTGGCTTAATTTACTTCGCATCACAACTAGTTGCAGGCATTTTTCTAATTAAAATCCTCATGCAACTTCCTAGCCTTTTTCACTTACGATCGCTTGAGAGATGCTATCTCCTGCTATCTGTTTTTCGTTTATCCACACAATACAGTCTCTCAACTTCTTCTAATCATTCGATCTCTGTTTCGAAAGCTCAGTTAAACCTTTGGGCAAGAACAGCTTTCCTTGATTGCGTTCTCTTGGAAAAATGTAGCGTTGGTTGATTGGGGTTTAATATCACTTTAGCAGTGATCTCTTTCTTCATCTCCATAGTAATTCTCACCCTTATTCTGTAGGGTTGGCACTAGAAGCTTTCTTGGAGCCCATGGTCACTTATTTTTCAGGTGAAATCACTATAAAAAGGCTGTAATAATACGAAATGTTCCAATTGTATGCTTGAATGTTACCGCGGAGGCTGGCTTGTAAACAATGCCACTGGCAGAACAAGTGAGGCTGGCTCAGGCCGCATGGACGTGTCTCGGACGAATCGCGTTGAGCGAATTTTTTAGCGCTATGCGAGGCAAAATTTTAGCGATAAAATGTATCGCTATGCGGATTTAACGCTATGCGATGCCAACGTTATGCAGGGGTCCACTGTATATACATTGTGCATTATATTGTTGTCACAGGCCACAAAAGTCACTGGAACAAATATTAGAAAAGCAAAGAAAAAACACAAGAAAATCAAATAAATAAAGATACAGTGGACACCCACATACCGCACGCATCGCATACCGTACAATCCTCATACCGCTTGCTTTTTTCGCAAAAAATTTTGCCTCGCATACCGCCCAAAAACCCGCTCACCGCCCTTCGTCCGAGACGCGTCCAATGTGCGGCCTGAGCCACGCTCACATGTTCCGCCGGTGGCATTGTTTACCAGCCAGCCTCCGCGGTAACATCCAAGCATACAATCGGAACATTTCGTATTATTACAGTGTTTTTGGTGATTTTTTCTGGAAAATAAGTGACCATGGGCCCCAAGAAAGCTTATAGTGCCAACCCTACAGCAATAAGCGGTGAGGAATTACTATAGAGATGGAGAAAAAGATCATTGATTAAGTATGAAAGTGGAGTTGCGTGTCTCCGAGTGGCCAGGTTGTATAATAAACCCCAATCAATCATCGCTACTATTGATGGTACTGCTGCTGCCGGTACCACCGTCAGCTGCTTGCTGCACTGTCAGTGCTGACTGCACTGTCAGTGCTGCTGCTGTTGTACACACGTCAGCTGCTGCTGCTGCTGTAGCATGTGCTGCTGCTGTAGCTTCGTCTGCTGTGCTGTAGCATCATCTGATGCTGCTGTAGCCATATCATTGCTGATTGCTGTAGCATCGTTCTGTTGTGCTGTAGAATCAATCTGCTGCTGCTGTAGCACGTCTGTTGCTGCTGTAGCAATCAGTCTGTTGCTGTTACACGTCAGCTGCTGCTTGCTGCTGTAGCAACGTTGTTGGTGTGGCTTATTGAGAAATACAAAGTAACAATTAACCCCAGAGGATTTGCACCCAGGTAAACCCAAAAAAGTTCAGTGTCATCGAGACTGTCTAACTTATTTCCATTGGGGGGGTCCTTAATTTGTTCTCCTAGGATGCAACCCACTCCAGTCGACTAACACCCAGGTGAAAGGGAAAAATGCCTGGAACTAGTGCTCATATTGGTGAATTTAAGCCCAGCAAAGGTTGGTTTGAGAGATTAAGAAATCGTAGTGGCATACACAGTGTGATAAGCCCTGTTCTGGAAGAAAATGCCAAAAAGGACCTACAGTACTCAGGAGGAAAAGGCACTCCAGGACGCAGTGTCTTTCAGTCATTGCTGCTTCATTCAATAAAGGTATAGTGTCATTTTATTCTTCATTTAGTAGAGTAGTACCATGCACATATATATTGTGCATGTACTACTCTACTATTGTGCATGTATCCTTCTCTTGTGTGTAGGAAAAATGTATATTTCATGTGGGTAAAAATTTTTTTTTCATACATTTTGGGTGTCTTGCCCACGGATTATTTTGATTTCCTTATTTCTTATGGGGAAAATTCGTTCGGATGCCGAACTTTTGCATAACAATTCAGCCCTCTTGCCAACGTGATTAAAGTCACTATTGTGGGGGTCGGGTCCTCTTGTATAGGGATGAACATATTCAGTATGGAATGATATTTTCATAAGAAGGTTTTGGAATCGAATAAGGACTTAGTGTGTTGCTTATAATTATAGTTTGTGATATCTCTGGTAACTGCTTCATGTTGCATGATGACTGGTTTGAGGTTGGGTGCTGATGGTGGATCCCTGGGCATTAGCCCTTTTGTTATGACATGATAAATGAGGAAAAAAAAGCAGAATAAAAGAACGGGAGGTGAGAGTAGATTACACAAGTGTCATATGGTCACTTACCACATGTAAAGTGATTTGTACCTGAGGCTGGGTGGCATGAAGGGACCAGGTGGTGGGTCTGGAGGTACGCAACACTAATGTAATGTTCCTCTCAATACCTCGGCCACTAGCAAGGCTGAGGCCTCTGCTACCACCCTCACCACTGCCAACCACAGCCAACACCAAGCTACCATTGCTGTTGCTGCTGCCGTCCACCTCAATGATATGGATGTCTCTGCAAAACAAAAAAAAAATCAGCTGATATTTATACACATCTAGAAGCTTACAACAAATTTAAAAATCTCTTCATACTGCCCAAAAATTTTCATTTGAATTTTCCAAATTTTAAGAATTAATACAGTACTGTACACCTGATATTTCCTTCCATTCTAATATTTGTGCAACTCTTGTTTGCTGTTACCTAATATCTCAATAGTTCACCTCCTTGTTCCATGGATGAAGACAACATACATCACTGCATCCTGTTCCATGGATGAAGACAACATACATCACTGCATCTTGTTCCATGGATGAAGACAATATGCATCATTGTATCTTGTTCCATGAAGACAACATGTATCACTGCATCTTGTCCCATGGATGAAGACAACATGTATCACTGCATCTTTTCCCATGGATGAAGGACAATACATGTATCCACTGCATCTTGTCATGGTTGAAGACATCATGTATCACTGCATCTTGTCCCATGGATGAAGACAACATGTATCACTGCACCTTGTCCCATGGATGAAGACAACATGTATCACTGCATCTTGTCCCATAGATGAAGATAACATGTATCACTGCATCTTGTCCCATGGATGAAGACAACATGTATCACTGCATCTTGTCCCATGGATGAAGACAACATGTATCACTGCATCTTGTCCCATGGATGAAGACAACATGTATCACTGCTTCTTGCCCATTGGATGAAGACAACATGTCTATCACTGCACACTTTCCCATGGATGAAGACAACATGTATCACTGCATCTTGTCCCATAGATGAAGATAACATGTATCACTGCATCTTGTCCCATGGATAAAGACAATATGCATCACTGCATCTTGTTTCATGAAGACGACATGTATCACTGCATCTTGTTCCATGGATAAAGACAAAATGCATCACTGCTTCTTCTTCCACGGGTTGAGTACTAAAATGCATCACTGCTCTATTCATATTGGTTACAAATATATTAACTCTGCATTTTTAACCCCTTTGACTGTCGCGGCCGTATTTACGTCTTACGAGGTACCGTGTTTGTACGTATATATACTCATAAATTTCTAGCGGCTTCAAATCAAGCAGGGAGAAAGCTGGGTAGGCCCACATGTGAGAGAATGGGTTACTGTGTGGTTCAGTTGTGCACCATAAAAAAAATCTACGGAGCCGCAGTGCATAATGTGGAGAAAAAAAAAACTCGACGTTTTTTTAATTAAAATGCGACTTTGTTGGTCGATTTTGTATAGTATTTCTAGCTGTATTCTCGTTTCTCTTGGTTATTTGATAGAATGGAAAACACATATTTTAGAAAAATAGAGGTGATTTTGATTTGATTTTACTATAAAAAGAACCTAGAAATGGAGATTCAAAAGTGGGGAACTGTTTGATTTTTGCCAATGTTCAATTAAGTAAAAAAATGATGCCATTGTGTCCAATAAATGTCCAACTTGACATTCTAAGATGCAGTCATGTATGGGTTGATGTTATTTATACAATTATTACAGTATTGCAGTAGTCTGCATAATAGTAAGTCTTCTATTTTTTGTTTGAATAAAAATTCAAAATAGAAAGCAAGAGTAATATCAGAGGGGCCTGGAGACATGACTGATGAGCAAAGAAAATGTTATTTTAGAGCCAGGAATGTCTGCATTGTTCATTCTGGACCTTATTTTGAAATTGTCATATTTTTTAGTTTTCGTGAAACTGGCCAAATTGCAAATTTCTGACCACATTATTAGGTAGTTGAAATCGGTAAATAGGCAGTTTCTTATACTCAATCGATAGAAAAAATGGAGTTCTAAAGAAATAGCTATGAGTTTGGACGACTGGGACAATGGAATTAGCCGAAAATAGGGCACAAATTGGGCGAAATCGCCGATTTGTAAACAGCGCTGAGGTCGCTAACTTCGCGAGAGCATAATTCCGCCAGTTTTCCTGCAAATTTCGTTTTTTTGGTGTCATTACAATCAGGAAAAGATTCTCTATCATTTCAAAGAAAAAATAATTTTTTTTTTAAATTTTGCGACACCAGGAGACACCTCAGGATTCGGGGTTGCGACAGTCAAAGGGTTAATTAACTGCTTTTTCTTCACAGTATTTCACTGGGATCTCTTAATTCAAAGAATCTGAGCTCCCATTCCCCTGGTTGGATCAAACCCTCATTATCTTCTAATTACTAGGGACTATAATTAAAATTTAAAACTATTAGATCTTCTGTGCCACACTGCTTCCATCCTTAACCGAAGACAATTGTAAAGTTAGTAATCTTGCCCATTTTTAGTGTACTACATCTAGCAGTTTACTGCATGAGTTGTTATACAGTAACATGCAAATCATTAAATACATGATGATAAACCTGTCATTTTCTCCCAGCATGTTATGGTGGTAGCAGCCTGAAATGGGTTGCTCCACCGAGACATAACACTGTGCCACTGGGCTTTCATCTTTGATCTCTGTGTCACACCCTTCATCTGATTCATCATCTGCAATAAAGGATTTTATTATATTAGAACAGAATCTTGGTAGTGATATATATAAACCATATTCTGATTAACTTAACACTTTTCTAAAGGCAATCACAAAATTCCAAAGTAAGAGTGCCTCTGCAAAGACAGTGATTATATATGAATGATGGAGAAGTGTTGAATGATGAAAGATTTTTCTTTCTTTTTGGGTTTTTCTTTCTTTTTGGATCACCCTGCCTCGGTGGGAAACAGCCAACATGTTAAAAAAAAAAAATTACGAATATCTGAAAAAACAATTAACAATAGTAAACCTCACTGATTTAGCTTTTGGTGGGCTTGCCTGTGATTGGCAACTGAACCAAGGTACTGATTTAACCCTTAAACTGTCCAAGCAGATCTACGTTCACATGCGTAGTACTCCAAAAGTAGATCTACGTTTCTTTTACATTATTATTATTAATTTTTTTTATTAACACACTGGCCGATTCCCACCAAGGCAGGGTGGCCCGAAAAAGAAAAACTTTCACCGTCATTCACTCCATCACTGTCTTGCCAGAAGGGTGCTTTACACTACAGTTTTTAAACTGCAACATTAACACCCCTCCTTCAGAGTGCAGGCACTGTACTTCCCATCTCCAGGACTCAAGTCTGGCCTGCCGGTTTCCCTGAATCCCTTCATAAATGTTATGTTGCTCACACTCCAACAGCACGTCAAGTATTAAAAACCATTTGTCTCCATTCACTCCTATCAAACACGCTCACGCATGTCTGCTGGAAGTCCAAGCCCCTCACCCACAAAACCTCCTTTACCCCCTCCCTCCAACCTTTCCTAGGCCAACCCCTACCCCGCCTTCTTTCCACTACAGACCGATACACTCTTGAAGTCATTCTGTTTCGCTCCATTCTCTCTACATGTCCGAACCACCTCAACAACCCTCCTCAGCCCTCTGGATAATAGTTTTGGTAATCCCACACCACCTAATTTCCAAACTACGAATTCTCTGCATTATATTCACACCACACATTGCCCTCAGATATGACATCTCCACTGCCCCCAGCCTTCTCCTCATTGCAACATTCATCACCCATGCTTCACACCATTACAAGAGTGTTGGTACAACTATACTCTCATACATTTCCCTCTTTGCTTCCATGGACAAAGTTCTTTGACTCCACAGAGTGCTAAGTGCACCACTCACCCTTTTCCCCTTATCGATTCTGTGATTCACCTCATCCTTCATAGACCCATCTGCTGACACGTCCACTCCTAAATATCTGAATACATTCACCTCCTCCATACTCTCTCCCTCCAATCTGATATCCAATCTTTCATCATCTAATCTTTTTCTCCTCATAACCTTACTCTTTCCTGTATTCACTTTTAATTTTCTTCTTTTGCTTACCCTACCAAATTCATCCACCAACCTCTGCAACTTCTCTTCAGAATCTCCCAAGAGCACAGTGTCATCAGCAAAGAGCAACTGTGACAACTCCCACTTTATGTGTGATTCTTTATCTTTTAACTCCACGCCTCTTGCCAAGACCCTCGCATTTACTTCTCTTACAACCACATCTATAAATATATTAAACAGCCACAGTGACATCACATATCCTTGTCTAAGGCCTAGTTTTACTGGGAAATAATCTCCCTCTTTCCTACATACTTTAACTTGAGCCTCACTATCCTCGTAAAAACTCTTCACTGCTTTCAGTAACCTACCTCCTACACCATACACCTGCAACATCTGCCACATTGCCCCCCTATCCACCCTGTCATACGCCTTTTCCAAATCCATAAATGCCACAAAAACCTCTTTAGCCTTATCTAAATGCTGTTCACTTATATGTTTCACTGTAAACACCTGGTCAACACACCCCCTACCTTTCCTAAAGCCTCCTTGTTCATCTGCTATCCTATTCTCCGTCTTACTCTTAATTCTTTCAATAATAACTCTACCATACACTTTACCAGGTATACTCAACAGACTTATCCCCCTATAATTTTTGCACTCTCTTTTGTCCCCTTTGCCTTTATACAAAGGAACTATGCATGCTCTCTGCCAATCCCTAGGTACCTTACCCTCTTCCATACATTTATTAAATAATTACACCAACCACTCCAAAACTATATCCCCACTTATAAATAACAAAAAAAGGCACAATACCGTGACTGGAACGATACACAAATAACCCGCACATAAAAGAGAGAAGCTTACGACGACGTTTCAGTCCGACTTGGACCATTTACAAAGTCACACTTTGTAAATGGTCCAAGTTGGACCGAAACGTCGTCGTGAGCTTCTCTCTTTTATGTGTGGGTTATTTGTGTATATCCCCACCTGCTTTTAACATTTCTATCTTTATCCCATCAATCCCAGCTGCCTTACCGACTTTCATTTTACCTACTGCCTCACGAACTTCCCCCACGCTCACAACTGGCTCTTCCTCACTCCTACAAGATGTTATTCCTCCTTGTCCTATACACGAAATCACAGCTTCCCTATCTTCATCATCATTTAACAATTCCTCAAAATGTTCCTTCCATCTTCCCAATACCTCTAACTCTCCATTTAATAACTCTTCTCTCCTATTTTTAATTGACAAATCCATTTGTTCTCTAGGCTTCCTTAACTTGCTAATCTCACTCCAAAACTTTTTCTTATTTTCAACAAAATTTGTTGATAACATCTCACCCACTCTCTCATTTGCTCTCTTTTTACATTGCTTCACCACTCTCTTAACCTCTCTCTTTTTCTCTATATACTCTTCCCTCCTTGCATCACTTCTACTTTGTAAAACTTTTCATATGCTAACTTTTTCTCCCTTACTACTCTCTTCACATCATCATTCCACCAATTTGCTCCTCTTCCCCCCCGCACCCACTTTCCTGTAACCACAAACTTCTGCTGAACACTCTAACACTACATTTTTAAACCTACCCCATACCTCTTCGACCCCATTGCCTATGCTCTCATTAGCCCATCTATCCTCCAACAGCTGTTTATATCTTACCCTAACTGCCTCCTCTTTCAGTTTATAAACCTTCACCTCTCTCTTCCCTGATGCTTCTATTCTCCTTGTATCCCATCTACCTTTTATTCTCAGTGTAGCTACAACTAAGAAGTGATCTGATATATCTGTGGCCCCTCTATAAACATGTACATCCTGAAATCTACTCAACAGTCTTTTATCTACCATTTGACCATAAACAGAAATATCAATCTCAATCTCAAAATAATGAATCTTAACTAGTCATAAGTTGGCCTGTGATACTCCAATACTGAAACTATGTATAGTGCCAAAACAAAAGCATTCACATTGCTAAACTCACAAACTAGTATTTAGTCACTTAGCCATAATACCAACTTACCTCATAATTTTGTAATATTTTAAACTTAAGATTTAATTTAAGTCTGCCCGAAATGCCTAGCCATGCTAGGTGTTCTAGTGGTATACTCTGTAATTATTATTTTACTACATGTAAACCACACAATAACCAAATTCTGTAAACTCAGCATTGTAATCCTTATAGAGAATAAACTTTGAATTGAATACATAATCCAACAAACTACTGTCATTTCTCCCTACATCATATCTTATATACTTATTTATCCTCTTTTTCTTAAAATATGTATTACCTATAACTAAACCCCTTTCTATACAAAGTTCAATCAAAGGGCTCCCATTATCATTTACACCTGGCACCCCAAACTCACCTACCACACCCTCTCTAAAAGTTTCTCCTACTTTAGCATTCAGGTCCCCTACCACAATTACTCTCTCACTTGGTTCAAAGGTTCCTATACATTCACTTACCATCTCCCAAAATCTCTCTCTCTCTCCTCTATATTCCTCTCTTCTCCAGGTGCATACACGCATACACAATGCCAAACATGGCATTTGCTTCTGATAGGAACCCACTGACATTACTAATTTTGTTTTTATTTGATTTCAAACCCTGAATATTTGCAAGTATGAAGCAGGAATTACCATTTGGGATGTTTTGCTTTGCTGTGTGTTTCGTTAGTACCCCTGGTGATGTACTACTTGGTATGGCCTCTGGTGTACATACCCCTGGTTTCTCCAGTACAGACTTTGCATTTGATTATGCATTCTGCCCTGATGGGCTGATGCCTGGTTTGGTATGTCCCACTGTGCTGCCCATCTGGCCCATCTGTAGAGTTTCCCCTTTTTGCCTCTTTCTTTGGTCCGATCATTTCTCTTTATGTCTAAAACACATTGCTGTTCATTTTCCCTTTCTCTGTTTTCTCTGAAGAGCCTTGTTACTTTACATGATGGTCTGGGCAGCTCAGGTCATAACATTCTCTGAACTGTGTTGAAGCTTTGCACATCACTGGGTGGAAGTACCTGGACTCTTTGTCAAAGTAAAACTTTCCCTTACTCAACATGTTTGCACATTTTCTCTTGTATTTATTCCAGGATGCTCTGTCATATAGCCACATACCTTTTGCATAGCATGTATCTGCAAATGTTCTGACCACCTATATTTACTGATTTTGTGTCTTTCCCAAGTTCTGCCACCTTATCTGAATCTCTAGTTTTCTTTCATCTAGGTGTATTTCTTCCATTTTTTCATTTTCACTTGTTCCTGCTATAGCTTTCTCTTCCTCCCTTTCCTTTTTCTTTACATTATGTACCCATGTTTTGCTCTTTTCCAACTTGCTCTGAATGACATTCTCCACTCTTATTTCGACTCCTTGGTCTTTACCTTCATTTTCGCTTTCCTCCCTTTCCTATTCCTTACCCCTTGTTATCCATTCTTTGTATATATCTGGCAAGCTCCTTAGGAACTTTCTTACGCTTGCTAGGTTTTCACTTTTCAGTAACCAGTAACAAGTCTTTGGACTGTTTCCAGTTTGCCCATATGTTTCTTTAGGTGCAAACAACAGACAGTACTACTGTTACATAATCTAATTTGGGTCTAACATATTGGCAGATGTTGCAAATGTATGGAATAGGAAGTAGGTTACTGAAAACAGTGAGAAGTTATTATGAGG